AAAAAAAAAAAAAAAAAAAAAAAAAAAAAAAAAAAAGTTCGATGAATTTGGGCGCTTCTGTAGTGGCCCCGTACGTTTTCTAAAATCGCAGGAGTACTGGTGGCTTAAATCAGTGCTGAACGTAAGTTAGCCAGACCCCCACTGGCGGCCCCAACCCTATACCCTAAACATTAGGGGCAAGGGGCAAGGGGCAACATGAAAACTCCCCTTCACAGTGAGAGGAAACTATGCTTGCAGGGGTCCCCTCTAGATAGCCTCAGGAGTAGGTAGTGAAAGGCAAAAAACAGAAGTTGAGAGAAGAATATAGAAAACAAAAGAAAAAAAAAAAGAAAAGGATTACTGGGTGGAGTGATCAAGTGATTCTGTGCTTCACGTTTAATTTTGGAAGATTTGTCAGTTGGGAAGTAACACGGATGCTGGACCCCGTTTCAATAGAACAAGCCCAAGTTGGGCAATGGCCCCCGCTTTTCCTCCGAGTCGGGGTTGTTTGCTGTTTTTCGACGGTTTCTAGCAGAGTTTCACAGGCTGGTGTCTGCTATCGTAACAGGGGTCCCTTTGGCCAGGCCTGAGGCCAGACTGCTTTCGTAAAGGGGGTCCCGTCGGCCTGGCCTGAGGCAAGGGCTCCAAGTCCCAGGGGTCTGCTGCAAAACAAGGTAGTAGCGCCAGAGGTATAGTAGCAACTGAAATGTAGGAGTAGGTAGTGAAAGGTAAAGAAACAGAAAGTTGAGAGAAGAATATGGAAACAGAAAAAAAAAAAGCAACTGAAACGTTAAGGACAGGTGTTTTGGTATAGATACACGGTGTTTTGGTATAGATAAATACACATCAAAACAGCTGGGCTGCTGGCAAAAGCCTTTGTTTGTCACCATACCTGCGCAGGCCGGAGAAGCTGGAAGGTACGTTTGCAAGCCGCTATTTCTGCAATTTGCCCGTCTTTTTTGGGATAATCGATACAAAGCGCCCGCGCCAAAACCTTTTCGGTTTTGGGCGCCCAGAGGTCGACCATTTGGTTCAACCGGCCCAATGACTGCCATGTCGCGTCGCTCCAACGGCCCTACCGGATCATGAATCGGCGCACAGCAGCGCCAGATTCATTTAGATGTGAAAGAGGCCAACGGTGGTACGGCCGAAATATCGAATGAGGCCCACGTACGGGATTAAAAAAAAAAGCGCCCTACCAGTTTATAAATCTGATGCAAAACCATGTCCAAATTCTTGAACGAGGAAAAACAGGCCCAGGGAGATGTGGCCACGGCGCCAAGGCGCCTCTCACCCAGGCTGAAGACGGTTTGGGCCGGTAGTACCAAACGGCCGAGTTTCGGGCGCCCCAAACCGGAAGGGTTTTGGCGTGGGCTCTTTCTACCGATTATCCCTTCGTTTCTCCCTCCTCATCGTCTCTCTCTCTCTCTCTCTCTCTCTCTCTCTCTCTCTCTCTCTCTCTCTCTCTCTCTCTCTCTGTTTGTGTGTGTGTGTGTGATTATGGGTGTGATTATGTGTGTGTTTAGCAGCTTTGTCCTTCGCTAGACAGGGATGGCCAACCTCTGTGTTAGGCAGCACAACGCACTCCCAGGTGGAATGCACTTGCTGAGATGCCAAACACATACTTCCACACTTCCACACTTCCACACACACACACATATATATATACACAGAGAGAGAGAGAGAGAGAGAGAGAGTTGGGGGAGCGGCGAAAGCTACAGGGACGTGGAAAAAAGGTATATGACATCTATCCTACTACGCAATGGGGCCGATAAGTCTGCAAAGATATGACGCAAGAACGTCGCCTCTGCTCTTCTTACTCGGTGACACGACTACTGAGACGCATGACTGTCTTGATTGGGCAATGAATGGGCTGTGCTCTAACAAGCATGGACAATTCCTTGCTTCATCTACAACTGCTAAAAGAGGGGGGGGGGGGTAGCCCCTTCGCTACCTCGCTGCCATGGTCGTACGACCTTGTCACCACTGCAGAAACTGTCCTCGACTCTTCGCCCCACCCCGTACTGCGTGTGCGGTGAGACATCCCGTCCCATGTCCCGTCCTTCATCCCACCTCCCTGCCTCCAGGAGCTTGATATTCTATGACAACCCCTCCCATCTTGCACCCTCGCCCAACCCTATCCAAGTGAAGGTCGGCGAGCTCCACTCAGTGGCACTCACTACTACTTTCTTTCCACCGGTTAAGAACGACGGCCGGCGGAGCAAGGAATCGTGGAGAGGTCGTCTCAGTGGCACTCCACTACTGCTTTCTTCCCACCGGGGGCTAGGTCCCACTTACACGAATTAAGCGATAGTGACTGTAGATAGCAAAGACCAACGGCCAGAATCTCTTAATCCGTGCAAGTGGGACCTTGCCCCGGTTGGGAATGACGGCTGGCAGAGCAAGGAATCGTGGGGATTGGGCATCATCATCGCGGCCGTGCGGGCCGTCCCAGTTCCACCGTGACATTTCTGATACCCCGATTGATGCTCAGGATGTGATCGCTGTTACACAGCCTCCACACAATGATTCACCAGGATGTTATCAGTTGAACTCAACGTTATTACGTCGCAGGCCTTCGACGACGCGGTGTTCCCCTGGCCTCACCACCAGTTTGCCTCAACAGAGACAAATCGAGCGGACGTGACTCAGTAGAAAGTGCTTAGACAAAAGCCGAGCCAAGAGGCGGCAGAACAGAAAGTCCTAAAAAGAATAAAGCTACTGTAAGAAAGTCCTCAAAAAAATAAAGATACTGCACGTATCACGGTATCCGTCCTGCATTAAATAAAGATAGTGCACGCATCACGGCGAGCAGAACGAAATAACAAAGTCCTCAAGAAAATAAAGCTACTGCACGTATCCGTCCGACCATTCGGATCGAGCAGAATGGAATGCAGAACAGCAAAGGTCCGGCCTCCTACATGGCAAATGTCCCACCAATTGAAAAGAAAAAAAAAAACGGCTAAACATAAAATAAAAAAAAAAGAAACAGCAGCGTACAGCTATTACGACGCGCGCAAGTGAAGAACTAAATGCTGCTCGTCCTATAGAGGTAGTTAACAATCCTGAGTTTCAACGATTTCACCAACAATCAATTACTTCCTCCTCACGTCCAATAGTCACCGTTGGACTCCTCACATGAGGAGGCGATACTTACGCCACAACAGACACACACACACACACACACACACACTTGCCCTTTTCTCCGAAGTTAATAAACCTACACTCCTGCCAGACCCCACCCACGTGAGAGGTGATGGGGTCCTCTCAGCACCTCTCAGCATCTTTTCCATTCGAGGACGAACTCCAGGCGTAACTTGTCATCGTCGGAGTCGCCGATATTCGTCGCCTTGCTGCCTTCCGCCGTCGCCACGATCTTGACGTTCAGATTGACAGCGCCGTTGCTCTGGCTCCGCACGATCGGACTGAAGTGTTGCCTGAACTCGACGATCCGTTTTGCCGGGCCTTTGATGATGCGCCGGACCGAGTCCGTGCCCGGCTGTCCGGACAAATAGTAGATGAACTCGTAGATGATCTTGGAGCCTGCTTCCACGTCCGCGAACCCCCTTCCCGTCACCTTGGGCACCGCGGAGCACCAGCCATCAGGAACGTCCAACTCAAACGAGACCTGGCAGGTCTTCCTGCGGTCGGCCAAGGATCCGTCGGTGGTCACAGCCAGGCCGCCAAAACGGAACGCGACACTGTCCTGGGACGGAATGAAGTCGGTGTCGTCAAAGCTGCAACCGTTGCCCATGAAAGTGATCGACTTAATGGTCACTTCGGGCTGGCGACGTAAAGCACGCGCAGGACGTGCGCATGCAGGACGTGCACTAGCGGCGAGTAGCAGCAAGGCAGTGAGAGCTGCCGTCCGCAACACGAATAGCGCCATGGCCATCGCCTCCTTCGAGTTCTAAGGACGTTCTCCTCTCCCTCTGGGCCTCTGATCGCCGGCAAGGCGAGATGCACTGAAGACGACAGTGACAGTCGTGAGTGACGCGTCGCCTTCTCTCCCTCCTCCAGGGAGACAGATCACCGGCTCACTGAGTGGAAGGAAAAGCTCGCTCTCCGGCCGATCGCGGCTGTGATAACGCTGCTGCTCTCGCAGTCTCGAGAATTGCACGCGCGCAAGACGGGCTGTGCGATCCTATCTACAAAATGGTGGAAACAGGAGAGTGGAATATATAC